AACCACACACACCCCCATTTATTGCAATACTTAGCATTGGGGTAGTGACACAAACCCTGATCCAGGAGATGAATTGAGGAGGGAGACCCATTGTTGTCATCACAGTAAACAAAAACTCCCAGTCAATGGAGTCAAATGCCTTCCTTAGGTCTATTTTCATCGTGCACCGAGGAGAAATATGTTTCCTATGATAACCCGCTACTAATTCAGATGCCATCAGAATGTTGTCACTAATACTTCTACCCTTCACAAACGTTGATTGACTCTGACTAATTAATTGGGGTAGAACCATCAGGACCTAGGGACTTATTAGTTCCCATATCAAACAAGGCAGATTTTATTTCCTCTTTTGAGACATTCCTACAAAGATGCTCAGTATCCACTGATGTTACTTTATTTACCAAGAGTTGCTCCATTTCCTCCACTGAAATACTTCGTACTTCCTGGTTTTTCTCCTCAAGCAACTTCATATAGAATTTTACTGCTACCCGTCCAATGTCCTCAATATCAGTAATAATACTGCGATCCTTTTTGAGGAAAGGCATATGGTTTCTATGTTCCTTACCCTCAGTGACTGATGAAAATAAGTTGTGTTATTATCTCCTTCTGTTATTGCTTGGATCCTGTCTTTTTGTTTAAAGAACCTTCTTCTGCTTTTTGATACATTATACACTCTGCTACTGCCTTTGCTTCTTCTTCGAATAACTGTGGGGAAAGATCACTAAAGACCTTATGCTGGATAGCTTTTAAATCTTCTTCTGCTTTTTGAGCTCTTAGAGATATATCTGAGTAGAACTCTTTATTTAGTTCCTTAAGCTTCTTCTTTAGCAACCTCAACTTGTGGCATACTTTAAAAAAAGGTAGCCAGAGACCCTTGTACTCCAGACTTCTTGCAAGATTTCTTGAAACCTGGGATGGTCACACCAAAAATTAAAGAATCTAAATGGTTTTGGTAATGTCTTTTGATTTGAAGAAGAATTTAGTAATAAAACACAATGATCTGAATGTGTGCTCGGAGTGACAGTGATGGCAAAGCTTCCTGGAAATTTTGGAAGCCAAGAGCTATTCATGAAGATTCTATCAATTCTCCGAGCTATTGGGTTTCGAGATTGCTTATTTACCGAAGTAAAATACTCCCCTGTTGCTTTATGTTCTTCCAAGTGCATACCATCTATCCAGTTCTGAAAATCCTTACCACTAATCCCTGGATGTGTTCCACTAGATGCTTCAGATGCAGCAAGTATTGAGTTGAAATCCCCAAGAACTAGCCAAGCCTCATTACTTACTTGTATAGACTGCATTTTAGCATAAGAAAGGCGCCTAGCAGCTTCATCATTAGGACCATAAACCATAGTAATCTGACAATCCACTCTCCCCCTATCCTTCAAATGCATGAAATTTTCCTATGTTATCTCAGCTGTAACCTTCAGACCCGGCTTGTAGAAAACCCAGATCCTACCATTAGAGGACTTATCATAGTTCTCCAAGTATTTCCACTCAGAAAAACAATCAGCACAAATTTTCCCCATTTTACTCTTTTGTACCCTGGTTTCTAGAACTGCCATGATGTCCACATTTTGAGACCGCAGAAACTTACTAATAAACGCATGTTTTAAGGTTTTGTTAAAACCTCTCATATTTCATGAAGCTACTAACATCTTTTTTAGAAGACCTTCCCACATACCTTGCCTTCTTACCCCTTCCACTAGTAATGTAGTCAAATCCTACAGGGAATGGATTAAAACCCTCATTAACCAGATCAATGTTTCCACCACCCCCTGAGTAGGAGACGATTACTGCCTTTCCTTTGGAGAGTTTAGCAGCCGCAGCAGGGCTGACACTCCTTCTCCCCTGAATTACTTCTTGAAATTCTTCCTCTGATGGCAACTAATCTGCAACCTGCCCTTGCACTGTATTCTTATCAACCACCTGCTCCTATAATTTTTCCACGAGACATTCTTCAGTACCTACCACTTCCTCTACAATATCCCTCATTGACACTCCAAGCCTCATACTCTCCTCCTCATTATGTTGTTGAAGAACACCCTGTATCTCAGTCTCCTTGTGCTGCACATTCTCTGCCTCTTTATGAGCAGTAACTTGAGGAACTTCTTGTTGTTTTGCCTTTAGAATCCACATTCTCCGTACCGCCATCTCCTCCTTACTACAATCATGACCAAACCGACTACATTTCTGACAGACATGAGCATATTGAAATACTCAACATAATCTGAGAAATGGGAAACTTCATCCGGGACAAACCATAAAACCTCAGGACACTTTGACTCCACAGTAATCTCAACATAGCATTTCGCAAACCCTAGTTGATCAGACACTTTTGTAATATGGGAACAGAACGGCATATGCCAATCATACTAACCACCTTGCTCAAGCATTCTGGAAGTATACATTCCATTGGTAGACCTGAGATCTTCACCCAAACCGGAAGGTCGGGCTTCTCAGGAGCTACTGGCAGAATCCCTTTTTCCCATTTTCTCAAGAACAGATTATTCCCCCAAAGATGTCATGGACCACGACAAAAGACCTAGGAACAAGTCGATGCATTCGGAAATTGAAACACTAAGAGCTTATCTCCAAACCAGGAAACCCTAATTTTCCCATCTCTACCCCATAGCTTGTTCGCCCAATTTCTAATAACTACGAGAGATGGCGGAGCGGAGATAAACTGACCTACCAATCAGTTTTGTCAGCAAGCAGCGCCCTTATCCAACAAGGCCTTCAGAAGATGAAGAGCACCATCAACAAGATTTGGTTCTTCGTAGTGAAGTCTGCAGCTCTCGTCGATCATGAAAAGATCTGCCCACGATTTCCCTGCTTCAGCAGATGCAACCATGGAGAAAGAGAGAGTTTCAAGAAATCAAAGAAAGAAAAGAGAAATCCGACTACGAGGAATGCCGCCAGATGATATCGCCGCCGGCAGGAGGCCGAAACGACGAGAGAATCTCCAGCGATTAGAGCCGGGAACCACCGACGGCAGAAGGCCGATCCAGCGGGAAAACTTGTTTCTCTCTCTCTAACTCTCTCTAGCAGCTCCTATGTTTACGAATTCGCACATACATTTTTAACAATGTAGGCCACGCGATCTCAACCATGGTTGTCATGCCGGTGGCATGCCACTCGGTTGAACCTGGTTCAACCTGTGCCGGTTATGAAACTGGCATGACACCACCGGTATGACCGGTATGATCACTTACGCATTTTAAATAAAATGACATCATTTTAATTATACAAATCTTTCACGTTTGCCACCCGAATTACTTTTCTTTCTTATTCGCCACTAACTTTACGAATCGTTTCACGGTTGGTCACCGGCCGTTACACTCCGTTAAGTTTGTCCTACATGGCAGTCAACTATAAAGTTTGACCGTTAACTAGATGATGTGGAAATTAAAAAAAATAAATAAATTTTTTTTGTTCTTTCCACCTCATCATTGCACTTATTTTATCTATATAATTTATCATATTAATAATTTAATAAAATTTAATAAATTATAAAAATGGACAGCCAGAGGTGAAGACCAAGAGCCATGAGTGGACGTCGGCGCCCCAGTTATCGTGGACGAGATTGAAGTCGGAAAACTGAGGCTTCCCCTCAGCGTGACGCTCCTGATCCTCAGGAACCGGCGGGCGACGATCTCCGACGAGACGGAGTAGCAATTCCTGATGAATACGTGGCGGCGGGACCAGCTATCGGCGGCGTACCAAATTTCTTATATATACGGATACCAAATTTACGTGGTGTTCAATTATGGCAGCTTCCTGTCACTCCTCGCTGTAGTAGTTGTATCCAATACCCACCAACCATAACCCAGTCAAGTTTCCCTCTTCTTCTTCTTCTTCTTCTCCTACCTTCCTCACTCAGATTTCTTGCCGGTTTCCTGTTTCAGATCCGTGCACGATACCCACTGTTCATCGTCTCCCTCGCTATATATATATTGGGTCGGGTTGATTCCTTGATATCGGAAATACCCAGAAGTTAGATTTGGCTGTTTGATTAGTAGCAATGAGTAGTGAATCCGCCGCCACTAGCACAACACCGGCCGGTGGCGGTGGTGGTGGAGTCGGCGGGATCCAGATCCAGCCCCAATCGAGGACTCGGCTGCCGGATTTCTTACAGAGCGTGAATCTAAAGCATGTGAAGCTGGGTTATCACTATCTGGTGAGCCATCCATTGACCCTTTGCTTGATCCCATTGATGGCGGTGATCGTAATCGAAGCTACCCAATTGAATCCCGACGACATCCGCCAGCTCTGGCTCCACCTCCAGTACAATCTCGTCGGCGTCATCGTCTGCTCCACTTTCCTCGTCTTCGGGATCACGGTTTTCGCGGCCCTGACCGAAATAAGTGCGAGGTGGAAAGAAATTTTTTTTAATTTTTTTTTTAATTTCCACGTCATCTAGTTAACGGTCAAACTTTATATTTGACTGTCAACAAACTTAACGGAGTGTAACGGCCGGTGACCAACCATGAAACGATTCGTAAAGTTAGTGGCGAATAAGAAAGAAAAGTAATTCGGGTGGCAAACGTGAAAGATTTGTATAATTTGAGTGACCAAACGTGTAATTTAGCCATTAATTTATTATTCATTTTATGAATGTAATAGTTAAAAGTTGAGGATATTTGTTGGATTGTAACTAAATTGTCAACAAATATGTTTTATATATGATTAAATACATTGGATATTAATTGTTTTCAAATTTTTTAAAGCCCGCATGAACCGGCATAAACTGATTATATCACCGGTCGTATTATTCCACTTGCCAAACCCGCACAACGGTAAAAATCGGTTTCACAACCTTCCAACCCTTTTTGGTCTCCGAAACTGCGATTTTTCCCGCCTCCTAACTCCACAATTTCCATTCTCCATTTTGATTCCATTTTATTGCTTCGGTTTTGCCACTCGGATTCATCGGAATCAATCGAGGAACAATACTTTGCGACCCCAGCTCGTAAAGTTGCAGTCTTCTTCTTCTTTCTATGAATTTGACCAAAATCGGCCATCATCTCTCCGCATCAATCAGAAGAGCATCGACGGGAAAGCCAACCGTAACTCTCGCAACCTTAGAGACCCTTCTGCAGCAATGCCGAAACTCGAGTCACTTCGATCAAATCCTTTCCCAAATGGTCATCACTGGCTTCCTGGGCGACACTTTCGCTGCTAGCAGGCTGCTGAAATTCTCCACTGACTCGCTCTTCGTTCCCATCGCCCACTCCCACCGCATCTTCATTCACGTTCGGGGCCCCAACGGGTTCATCTGTAACACCATGATGAGGGCTCATGTACGGAGAAATCGTCCGGAGCAGGCTCTGCTTGTTTACACATTGATGCGGGACGGTGATGTCGCGGCCGATACTTACACGTATCCGATTCTCCTGCAGTCTTGTTCACAGAGGCTAGCGGAGGTTGAAGGGAAATTGATTCATGGCCAAGTGATTAAGGTGGGTTTTGATTCTGATGTTTATGTGGGGAATACGTTGATTAATATGTATGCGGTTTGTGGGTGTTTGGGTGATGCACGCAAAGTGTTCGATGAAAGTTGTGCCTTGGACTCGGTATCCTGGAATTCGATGTTGGCAGGGTATGTATCGGCAGATAACGTGGATGAGGCTAAGTGGTTGTATGAAAGGATGCCTGAGAGGAACGTAATCGCTTCGAATTCGATGATTGTGTTGCTTGGGAGGAGTGGGCATTTGGAAGAGGCTGCTAAGGTGTTCGATGAAATGCCTGAGAGAGACTTGGTATCGTGGAGTGCGTTGGTATCTTGTTATGAGCAGAATGAGATGTACGATGAGGCGTTGAGGAAGTTTAAGGAAATGGTTGTTGATGGAGTACTGGTGGACGAGGTTGTGCTGATCACTGTTCTTTCTGCTTGTACTCATTTAGTGGTAGGTATGACAGGGCAGTTGATCCATGCTTTGGCTATCAAAGCTGGGATTGAGTTATACATTAACCTTCAAAATGCCTTGATTCATATGTACTCCATTTGTGGAGAATTAGTTGCTGCTGAAAAGTTGTTCAGCTCTGCCTGCACCTTGGACCTTATATCGTGGAACTCTATGATCTCCGGGTACTTGAGATGCGGGGAAGTGGAGAAGGCTAGGAGCTTATTTGATTCGATGCCGCAGAGGGACACTGTGTCATGGAGTGTGCTGATATCAGGCTATGCCCAACGCGATCGGTTTGCTGATGCATTGGCATTGTTCCAGAATATGCAGCTTGAAGGGATTCAGCCTGATGAAACCATTCTGGTGAGTGTTATCTCAGCTTGCACACACTTGTCTGCCCTCGACCAAGGTGCATGGATTCATGCATATATTAGGAAGAAGCAAATGAAAGTTAATGTCATACTAGGGACAACCCTTATTGACATGTACATGAAATTCGGTTCAGTACCAAATGCCATGGAAGTTTTCAGAGCCATGGAAGAAAAGGGGGTATCAACTTGGAATGCTCTTATTCTGGGTTTGGCGATGAATGGGTTCGTGAAGGAGTCCCTCGCCACTTTTTCGGAGATGAAGGAGTGTAGTATTGTGCCAAATGAAATAACGTTTCTAGCTGTGCTTGGTGCTTGCAGACACATGGGCTTGGTAGAGGAAGGGCGTCGCCATTTCGACGCCATGTCCCGAAAGCACGGAATAGAACCGACTATCAAACACTATGGATGCATGGTTGATCTTCTTGGACGTGCAGGTAAGCTAACAGAAGCTGAAGAACTTATTGCCAACATGCCTGTGCCTCCTGATGTTTCAACTTGGGGTGCTTTACTCGGGGCTTGTAAAAAACACGGGGACAATGTGATGGGAGAAAGAGTGGGAAGAAAATTAGTAGATCTTCAACCGGAGCATGATGGCTTTCATGTTTTATTGTCCAACATATATGCTTCAAAGGGCAGCTGGGATAATGTGCATGAGATTCGAGGGATGATGAGGCAACACGGTGTGATTAAGACACCGGGTTGTAGCATGATTGAGGTGAAGGGAACAATTCACGAATTTCTCGCAGGTGATAAGACACACCCTCAGAGCGAAGATATCGAGAAAATGCTGGATGATATGGCTAAGAAACTAAAGATGGAAGGTTATGCACCAGATACACGTGAAGTTTTGCTTGACATTGACGAAGAAGATAAAGAAACCACATTGTTTAGACACAGCGAGAAGATTGCAATCGCCTTTGGGCTTCTCACCATTGACGCACCTACACCAATAAGAATCATGAAGAATTTGCGGATATGCAATGATTGTCACATGGCAGCTAAGTTAATCTCTAGAGCTTATGATCGCGAAATCGTGGTGAGGGATCGACATCGGTTCCATCACTTCAAGCAGGGCTCATGCTCGTGCCTGGATTATTGGTGACGGAAAGCTTCAGCCTTCGTATATAATCATCTTTTTCTCGAATCTGTCATTTATGCTCATTGTGCATTTGTGCACTTGTACATGAATCATGATGTTTACGCTGCTCGCTTGAATACGTGATGGTGCCAGAGGATCTTCTGTGTAGCCATATCTCCTGAATCCAATTTGGCATGTAAATCCTACTACGAGATTCGTATGTTGGACTAGAGCACCTATAAATACAGAGGGTTACATAACTTTTTGTACAAGAACTGCAACATGAGACTGGAAACGAGCTCCTTGAGTGAAACTTCATTTTTGTCTGCTCAACTAGCGAAGCTTGATAGTTGATACCGATTCGTTGCGAATGAATATGTTCGAACTTAGGAATGGTCTTTGCTCATGATTCTGGATACTTCCTCTGTTTGGAGAGAGAATCAGAGATACCTCAATGAAGAACAAAGATCAGACAAATATCTAAGTCGACTCCTTTTCGAAATACAGTAATGAATTTGCTTTCTCAGCTCCATTTCAAACCCCATCTCCAATGGAATGTATTAAGCAGTCCACTTCATCTGCGTCATCTATTTCTTTCATGTGCTGAAATAGTAAACCTAGAGTTTGATATGCAGGCTCCATATGAGTCCCAACTGTATCACCCACAACAAAACTGTATACTTGATTCCTTACTCCAATCCAATTCTTCCCCAACACTTTCTTGCTCACGATTCCTCCATCAAATTTGATTTCCTCATCCTTGCAGACTTCCTCCATTTGCCTTCAGCTGCATAAATGTTTGATAACATCATATAAGTACTGGCCACATTTGGTTGTAAATTCAGCACCCTTAAGTTCCATTCTTTTTGGGTTTCGGGTATCTGGGTTTCAAACACAAGTGAATTGCAAGAAGAAGCAATGAAATGGTTACTAGTCTGTGCAGCGAGCCAGCGATCCAGTCTACATCATATTGGATTGAACAGTTTCGGTTCTAAAATTTCTAGACTTACTGGGTTTCAATTTCGTAATTTCTCTTCAAAAAGTACAGCAAATAGCATGCCGAATGAAATCATTTTCAATATGATTTTACTCTCTGTTTGGTTCAACTTTGGACTGAATTGGACCATGCAAATCTCTGGATGGAACAAACAATTTTGGGCTGTTCATTCAGATTGCCACATATTCGAGATCTACAATTCTGCAAGAAAGTTCAACATAATAAAAAAGCACAATCGATAGAGATGCACTGAGTTCAAGTCCACACAACTGAAGCATTTGCCAGAAAAGCTAGTAGTGTGCTAAGAGCATAAAAATTTAAAAATTCGGACCTTTGAAGGAACAACCTATTTGCCGTTAAACCATTCCTGATGATGTGGCCTCAAATCAGCCTGATTGAGAACATTATCTTCTCATCAGTATCTTTGAAGTAAACCATATACTTGCAGTTGATCAAAACCTCTGCAATCACTCGAACCCCCCAGCCCTCGTTATAGTAAGCATCCACTTCACCCATCACCTTGAATCCATCCACAATAATGGTCTCCGGTAGACAAGGCCTTATGTGGCAAGCACAAATGTCTTCCCTGAGAAACTCGGTATCATCATCATTTGTCAGGGTTTTGTATTCAATAAGGTGCTTGTCTTCAACCGAAGCTTCAATAATTGTTGCAGCAAACCAAGCGCCTTCAAAACCCTCGTCGTCAGTGGTCACCTCGACTTGCATGCCTTCAGTGAACTTCATCATTTCCTCGGGCCGACTTGAGTCTGCCTTCTGCTCAGACAACTTCTTCCCTTTTCCAACTTTTGTGGAGTTTTTCTCCGGTGACTTTGCATGGCTAACAGAAGAACTCTCACGTTTCGCTACTTAGCTTGGCCTAGTTTCAGTTTTCTCTTGTGATCTCAGCATGTTTATGAAGAGATTCAAAGACGTTGAGACAGTGTGAACAAGAACAAATGCTACCTCGGATCAGTCAGTTCTCTACTTTCCTCAGCCTAAGAAGCTGATTAGATCCAGGATTAAGAATTCCCCAAAATGATAATCAAGCAACGGAGCAGGAAAAGCCATTAAGTTCTAAATAGCTCACCTCTTTCTCCCGCTGACGCTGCTCGAATGGTGGCTCCACTTCCCTTTAACTTACTCCCTGAGCAAACTCAAATCTTTCTCTTCAAACACAATCTGCTTTCTCGAGCTTCTGAAGAATACCGTGAATTTCCCGCCAGCGTGTTCTGCAGTTATAGTCCCTTCCCGCACAGTAATGAATTTGCTTATAATGCTATCTCAGCTCCATTTCAAACCCCATTTTCAATGGCATGTATTAAGCAGTCCACTTCATCTTCATCATCTATTTCTTTCATGTGCTGAAATAGCAAACCTAGAGTTTGATATGCTCGCTCCATATGAGTCCCAACTGTATCACCCACAACAAAACTGTATACTTGATTCTTTACTTCAATGCAACTCTTCCCCGACACTTTCTTGCTCACGATCTCCTTCATCAATTTCCTCATCCTTGCAGACTCCCTCCATTCGCCTTCAGCTGCATAAATGTTCGACAGCATGACATAAGTACTGACAACATTTGGTTGTAAATCCAGCACCCTTAACGCAGCCAACTTGGCCAGACCTGGAAGGCTATGGGTTTTACAAGCGCTAAGAAGTGCACCCCAAACAGATTCATCAGGCTTAAATGGCATACTCTGTATCAGTTCATAGGCCTCCTCAACTCTCCCGGCTCTGCCCAGCAAATCCACAACACACCCATAAATCTCTTGATTAGGCTTGATCTTGTAATGATCCATCACAGAGTTGAAGTAGTTCAACCCCTGATCGACTAGTCCAGCATGACTACAAGAACTTAGAACTGCCATGAACACTATTTGATCAGGTTTTACATCTGCCTTCACCATCTCTTCAAATAATGCTACAGCCTCTTCCCCATATCCATGAGCACCATACCCTATCATCATAGATGTCCATGACACCAGATCCCTGACAGGCATTTCATTGAAAATTTTATGTGCCTCAGTTATGCTACCACACTTGGCGTACATGTCTATCAAGGAATTAACCAATGCCAAGTTACTGTTAAGTCCTCTGCGGATGATTCCTCCATGAACCTGCTGCCCACAACTGATGACTGCTAAGTTAGCACAGGCTGCTGTCACACTGGTGAATGTAAAGCAATTCGGAGTAAAACCTTCCGATTCCATTCGGGAGAATACCAAGAGAGACTGAGTGGAATCAAACTTCTCATATCCTGATATTAAAGTATTCCATGTAATCAAGTCCTTTTGCCTCATTTCAGTGAAACACTGGTTTGCCAAAGGCAAGCAAACAAACCTACAATACATATCTAGTATGGAGTTCATGACAGGAGTGTCAGATTCAAAACCATGTTTCATAGCTGCCGCATGCATTTGCTGGCCATAGCTCTGTGAACCAGTTGAAGCACAAGCTCTAACAGCAATTGAAAAGCTGTGAGGGTTAAGTTCCACTCCCTCCTGCGAGTCATCAGATGCAACACAATGTAAGGCAGTTTTATACCAGCAACGAAACAATACTTACAAAATCAGGTTACTACTTAACAGTTGAGATACGACTCTATAACATTTGCTAATTATCCATCTATTGTCATGACATTAAGAGCTTGTTTCATCCATACTTACATGTATCATCTGCTTGAAAACTCGGAGTGCGCTGTGGCCCCTGCCACGGTGGGTGTAACCAGTAATCAATGTAGTCCATGAAACTGCATTCTTTTCCCTAATATGCTGAAACGCCATGCAAGCATCCCTCATGCTAGTACAACAAGTAGCATACATATCCATGAGTGCATTGTCCACGTAAATGAAGCCTTCCATCCCACGCTTAACGACCAAACTATGAACCGAGCGCCCACGAGAAACATCCTTCATACCTTTACAAACCTTCAAGACGCTCGAGAAAGTGAAAGCGTTCGGCACAATTTCTTTCCTCAACATCTCGCAGAAGACTCCCCAAGCCCGCGTATTCTGGCTGCGGGCGGCGTAGCCAGTCACCATGGCCGTCCAGGCAACGACGTCTCTGTCGGGCATTTCGTCGAACAGGTCGCGCGCTTCGGTAGCCAGGCCTTGGTCGAAGAAGGACTTAATGAGGCTGGTGGCCAAAACGGAGGGACCCTTTGGCGCGGCGGAGAAAGGGCTTGAGTTGTTGGTTTGGGACCATTGGAGGAAGTCCTCGGCGAACGTCGGGAGAGGCTGCGATTGAAGAGCGGAAAGTTGCCTTCTTGTGTAGCGCATAAGAACCAGCGAACATGATGATGGTGTCTGATGAAGTGTGGTAATTCGCTTTCGCTCGCTTTGGAGGAAATCTAGCAGTTCTGCGGCTTACTTATGTTGGCCGAGCTAATTTGCAGCATGCGCCGCACCATCAGTTTGTTTACCTCCAACACAGCAATACAGAGGAACTCTTTAAGCACAGATTATATTACCTCAGGGACAAGAGAATCAAGAGGTCGACGGTGGAAGACTGGCGTCGGCGGAGTGTCGTCTGCCGAAAAAGAGGACGACGGGTTCTTGTTTTGAATGGGAAGGGTGTGGAGTAGAGGAAGAAGGCTGGGCCGGGTAAGGAAGGCTGGGCCTCGGATAAGAAGTTGGGCCTAAGAAGGGAAGAAGATGGGCTGGGGTTGGAGTTGGGCTTCAGTGGAGGCCAGAAGTTAACAATTGCAAGGGGTTGGGTTTTTCTTTCCAGATGGGATTTCTCGAATGAAATGAGTAGAAAGTACATGCTAAACACTTGATCAACATATCTTCCTTCCCTCCACAAAACTGAGTTTCATTTTAGTGGTGGGTTAATTGCAAGGTTGGTCACTGAGATTATAAAAAAGGTTCACGTTTGGTTACTAAAAATATTTAATTCCATTGTAATCACTGAAATTAGTTTAACAGTCCAAATTTAGTCACTCTCCGTTAGTCTCTGTTAACTTCCGTTAATTGAGTCTGTTATTTGCTGGCGTGGCTAACAGAAACGCCTAATCAGCCTAATT